TTTTTTCTGTTCAAGTTTCAAATAGTGTGTAAATTGAATACACTTCATCTTCAGCATGTCTAGTGCCACTTTTGTAAGTGGCCACGCCCCCGTCCAGGCCATGCCCCGTAAAGGCCACGCCCCTTCCGTTTTTTTCATCACTAGCCATTGTCATCCCTGGAGTAATTATGTAGTACTCTTCCATACCGGTAGGGAGCAGCGGCAGCTAGCTAATTGCCTTATGCTTCGAGACAAGTGAAGTTTCCAGCAAATTTTTCATTTAGATGTACTTTTACCGGAGATGCAACGGCACCAATGTTCCCTCTAAGCTGCGCAACTGCGCACTGGTCGGACACTCTCAGCGCACAAGAAAACCTATCCAGCGGGGTGAACGCACTGCAAATGAATTACAGTAGATATATAACTTTTTTTTCTATATCAATTTGCAAAACAGCGCTTCAGTCTGTTCACTGCCGAATAGTGACGTCATCCATGAAGAATACGCCACTGCATATAAAATAGCTGCACGGTTAAGTTTGAACCGGGCCGAGCCGCGGTCAACAGCGGGCTATCAAACCCTTTTCTTTCGTGCAGAAAAACTGTGTGTGGCTTGCCAGACTAATACGCAGCACTCCGTCAAAGGTCCACCATTGGTCAGTGCGCCATCTGTTGGGGGAATGCAGACGTTGCGGGAACAAGATTAAATAATGGAGTTATTTGAAATTTTTGTTGTTATTGATGTTGGACAAGTTTGCTGATGTCAATCACAAGTTTGTTCATGTCAATCTCAACCATAACTGAGCTTGCCATGTCCACGCCACGACTGGAATCAAAGTATTGAACCAAGGATATATTTCTTTAAGTTTTGTTTGTGAACCGAGGTTCTACTTTTCTCTTAACAAAGTCAATGTGTTGATGTTTTTTCACTTCTGTTAATATTGTGTGTGATTTTTCCGCCTTAAGGCTTGGGAGGACACATATGCTAAATGGGACCAAGCAACAAAACAAATCCTAAATTTCCCCAAAAACAAGGCAGATGATGGGCAGGTAGGTATCCTACAAAGGGATCAGTCACTTATATCTGTTTCTGTGATATTTAAAGGGAAAATCGTTTCAATAAGTTAACAGGGATGTGTATGTTCTGTTAAAGACACAGGCGCTTGTTTTATAAAATAGCCACTTTCAAGCAATAAAGCCAGTAATCGATATCCACACTTGTGGCCTATTGCAATGTGGTACTTAAGGGGCCCACTCTGGTATAGTCAAGGTGTGGGAGACCCTGGTGCCATCCACTGATCGTGTCCTCTCCCAACAGCAGGAGTGGATCAACATGACAGGCTTTCTCTGTGCCCTGGGCGGTGTGTGCCTCCAGCAACGCAGCACGCCTGGCCCTGCCACCTATAGCCCCCCTATGGGCTCAATGAGTGAGCGCAAGCATTCTATGATTTCCATGGGGCCATGTGAGATCTCCAACCCCATGGCCTCAGCCTCCTGCTCCTCATCAGCTTCGAGTGAGACACCAGTCAGCCGCTTTATCGATCGGCTGCTGGCCTTGCTGGTGTGTGGCCATGACAGAGTTGGCCTTCATGTCCGTACCAACGTGAAAGACTTGCTGGGGTTGGAGCTTAGCCCTGCCCTTTACCCCATGCTCTTCAATAAGTTAAGGAACAGTATTGGTAAATTCTTCGACACACAGGGTCCGGTGAGTGGAGGCTACTAACCCTCATATCCAATCTAGTAGTATTGGTTCACCTTCAATTTCCAAATGGCATAACTAACGGAGTATTGACGATGAGATTATTTTACACATGCCATTTTTTTGTAAACTAATTTACAAAGTTTGTTCAGAGACAAATATTTTTCAGATATTTCTAGCAGCCATATTGTAACTCAATGGGGGACTTTGAAGTTTTTAAAACACTTTTTTACCTGTGTTAATCTGTCTGTATAGCCTGACTGTATAATATTTTCTTATGATCTTAATGAAACAAATCTGAGTGAGAAGAACTGTGACTGTAGGAGGTGTAACCAAGGGGTGTTGTCAATCATTTGCGGGAGCACCTCATCGCCGCACGGATACGCCAGTGGCTTCGGTTGTCATTGTGCACCTATGTTCTAAAAAATATAACATCAACCAGGAACAGTTAGTGCTTTGCAGCACTCCAGCATGAATAAGTCATGCTCGTTGCAAGTAATGCTGGTTGAAAACCGCAGACTATCCCCTTTCAGCCAGCGAGGCTACGTCTTGTCAGCCTGATTAAGATAAGAAAACCTTTATTTGTCTCATAATGGAGAAATTCCCCATTTACAGCAGCATAATTTCATAATTGTGAAAGGGAAAAGTAGAACAAAAAGTATATAAATAAATATAAATTATAAAATATAAATATCAGCAAAATGGGTGAGTGGGGGTGAGTCCAGGTTTTCAGGTCTGTCTATTCAATAGCCTGATAGCAGTCGGCAGTCGGTACCTCTCCATGCATTGCGGGTGTATCAGTCTCTGTCATAGCTTTGAGCTTGGCTAGCATCCTCCTGTTGCCCACCTCCTCCAGAGTGTCCAGGGACAGCCCAGGATAGAGCTTTTAACAGACAGAGATTGTAACAGCATTCAAATTTTCTTTTCAATAATTGCATATGCTGAGCCAAAAACAACATAGGTGAGCTGAACTGCTGCCAGTCGTTCATTGTCCCAGCATGTTTGTTGATTCTGTGGCATTGCCTCGCAATAAGAATCATCAACACCGTCTGATATTCTATTACACAATTGCTTTGCCTTTATGACGTCCTGCTCGGCTCTGGGCATTGCGATATTCCTCACTCTCCACAGTATACACAGTAAAATACGTATAATTATCACGGCCTACAGCTACATACTGAAAATTCCATACAGGAAACTGTCATTCTTCCTAATTGTTGTACGATTGAGGCGGCACTATTATTGCTACACTGTAGAATTCGGGCCACCCAAAGCGAGTAAAGCCGAGCCTAGCTATGAGAGTGTTTTGAAAAAGGGCCATTGGTCTAGATTTGTTTAAAAAAAAAAAAAAAAAAAACCCAAACAAACAAAAACCTCATAATTACTGTCCGGATTCAACAAGTGGTTCTTGATGCTCTTAGCACATTGTTTGTGTTTGACGTGTCCTTCTTGACTGTTCTTTTCCAGGTTCCTATCAATGACACTAACACCCAATTTGTGGAGCAGACGATTGCAATAATGAAGAACCTGCTGGATAACCACACAGAGGGCAGTTCTGAACACTTAGGACAGGCTAGCATTGAGACCATGATGCTTAACCTCGTCAGGTCAAAAATAACTGCATTGGACATTGCGATATGGTGTGAGACGCGCAAGACAACTGACTTCAGATTTGTCGTCTTTTGGCTGTGGTTTTCTTAGGTATGTTCGCATTCTTGGCAATATGGTACATGCTATCCAGATCAAAACCAAGTTGTGCCAGCTAGTAGAGGTCATGATGGAGAGAAGAGATGACCTGTCTTTTTGCCAGGAGATGAAATTCAGGTAAGTTGCTTTTTCCACAGTTAAGCGTTCAGTAGATATAATATTTCATGGCAAAGTTCAAAATAACTTTTTATTCCTTGAACAATTCCTTGAACAACAAATAATATTAGTGATATAAATATACAATATGCTACATTAACCTTTACATGCATCCTGTAACATGACAATATGATAAGCTGTCCACTGTAGTAACCGCTGTCCCTGAAAGAATTAATATACTTTTATCCTTGTAGGCCACTCCTCCGGGGTGACGTCCGCCATAACCTAATTTGATTTATTTTTGGTTTCCGGTTCTATGTAGCGGTAGTAGTGTCATGTTACTGTGTATTTATCTCCAGACACTACATATTAACCTGGTTCCCACTGGACTCCTATAAAAAGTGTACTTTATCACCCAAGCACTTATGTCCGGTGTTTCATGATTACATGTCAATTTTCGGAACCGGAACTGCCCTGAAGCCTCGCCACAGGGAAAAAAATGGAATTCCTTCCATCTGGTTCTTGTAACATTGTAGGTGATTTTATATCCAAATGGAATTCTAATACATTGTTTTTGAGTATTTAATATCACAATTAACAATTACAAACACTATGGTTGAGCACCAACGGTCAGCGCTGGGTTGTCTTTGCGAGAGCAGGAAATCAGGCCCTTCCCACCTTCGTGAGAAATTGGGTTATAAATTCATGACAGCCCCTACTTGGAGCCATGCATGGTAAATGGACTTTAAGTGACAATTACCTGCTTCCGCAGTTAGTTTTGATCATTGCTTTTTAATTGTTTTAAGGAATAAGATGGTGGAATACCTGACTGACTGGGTGATGGGAACTTCCAATCAAGCAGCTGATGATGACATTAAGTGTTTGACAAGGTATAGCTTGGTTGCCAGCAGTGTCTTACATTGACTGCAGTATTGAAGACATATCTTGTTTCCTGCCTGTCTGTGTGTGATCAAGGGATCTTGACCAGGCCAGTATGGAGGCAGTTGTGTCTCTGCTTGCTGGTCTTCCTCTGCAACCTGAGGAGGGAGATGGAGTCGAGCTAATGGAGGCCAAATCACAGCTTTTTCTCAAGTTAGAATACATTTCCTTAACTTTTACGTAGAGGGCATTACACCACTTTGAACTCATTTGCTGCGAGCCGTTTTCATCAGAGCCAACCACATATTTGAACATTTTGACTGATCCACAGAATATTATGTTGTATTGATACAGCAAATCTATCTCAATGTAATCTAATCCCAACCAAGGGAAGAAAAAGTTTGATTCTACCCTTTTCTGTTCTTTTGTAGTCAACAGTAGAGCATAGGTAAATTATATGAAATTCAGTCGCTTCTCTGAAAATCTGGTAAAACTGAGTTTTTTTCTGAATACTTTCATGTCAAACAGAACAGTTTCTTTGATGTTAAAATTTTTGCTTTCGTTTGTCTTCTAACATCTGTGGTTTCATTCTATAAAGCAGCAAAACCAACATTTAGGAATGGCTTTTTATAACAAAATAAACTATTTAGGGGTAAACACGTGCTGTGAATGCTGCAAACACACCAGAATATGGCACATTAGCCAATGGCGCAGTATTGTTTAGTGGCTGGTCTCATCATGAGCGTCATCGTCATAATTCCAAAGTTGTTGTTGTACTTTGTCACATTTATGAAAAATACACCGTTCAGCTAAGTACACCACAACATATACTCTTGAGTTCTGTACATATATATTCCTTGGTCCTATTGGTAATTTCAAACTCATCCTACGTCATCATGAGCTAAAATTATGCCAGGAATCCACTGGATCTTCCACAAACAGTCGCTATGAGCGCCAGCAGAGCGACGGTTGCCCTGCATGACCCAAAATATTGGCCTCTGTTCAGCTTATTACTCATTGTTTGAGTCCTGTAATGTGTATCACCAATACACCCCCGTGCTCTGTAACAGCCCTTCTAACCCAAGGGCCTACATGGCAGCCATGTTGGCAGGGTGACTTTTCATCAAAGGTAGTAAATGTACGCCATTGTACATAACTATATGCAGCACAGTGTATAGGCATCTAGCGTCGGGCTTTGAGAATCAAGTGAAACAGGGACTCTCTTTCCAGCCAGTACTCACAGAATCGTGAAGATTTGAAAATGCCGGTGCTATATTTGGATGTATAGTTTGTCGCATTGAAGAATCCACCGAACACGAACGAAGAACCACCATGAAGTGTGTGGATGAGGCTCGCGAGTTGCAATAATGAATACTTTGTTTAAAAACAACAACAAAAAAAGTCATTACGTACTCCCTGTTGCCGCAACTTCCTTTACCCTTGTTATTGTGTCAGCAGGGCATGAAATTCCTCACTCGTGTCTTCCATCGAAACAAAACCCAAGGAACAACACCGATGTAATTGAACAAAAAAGGCTTTAATTCTACTTGAGTTCCCTTGATCACAAGAATTATGAAAGCGTGACAAAAGAGAACAAGTGCTAGTGCAAGCACTGTCAGAAAGGTTGTTGCTCCATGCTCTACTTGTGTTCCTTTTTATCTTTACGTCATCACCACACTATCTCCATTTTACAGTTAAAAGTAGGACTAACTAATGGAGCACAGATACTTAAGTACTCTTAATAAATTTACTTTATAAATGCCAAATATTCTGTTGTTGGTCAACTAAAATTATTCAAATAAGTGTGTGATTAACCTCATATTTTCTATGACTAACAATATGAAAAGAACTTTCACTTCATACACGGAAAATTATGTGGGCAATCTGTACCCCGTAAGTGGTAAGGTAAAGAATTTTCTAAAATATTTGTTGTTGTCCTGCAGGTACTTCACCCTTTTTATGAATCTGCTCAATGATTGCAGTGAGGTAGAGGATGAGGGTCAGGCAGTGGGTGGATGCAAGAGGGGGATGTCACGCCGCCTGGCCTCCCTTCGCCACTGCACTGTCCTGGCCATGTCCAACCTCCTCAATGCTAATGTCGACAGCGGCCTCATGCATTCTATTGGTAAGTTTGACTTTGTCACACTTGCAACATTTAGGGAAATTTGCTTGATGAAATGAAGGTACTGGGTAGTTTATAATTCCCAACTCTGAATGCTCAGGTTTGGGTTACCACAAAGATCTGCAAACTCGAGCCACATTCATGGAAGTGTTGACAAAGATCTTGCAGCAGGGAACCGAGTTTGACACACTTGCTGAGACAGTGTTGGCTGACCGCTTTGAAAGGCTGGTTGAGCTGGTCACTATGATGGGAGACCAGGGAGAACTTCCTATCGCCATGGCACTGGCTAATGTTGTTCCAGGATCCCAGTGGGTAAGAATGTTCTCTGCGTTCATGGATACTGGCAGTTAAAATCTATGATTCACTCTATATAGTAAAACTGTGTTGATGACCAAACAACACAGTATTATTAAAATGATCTTTGAAAAAAAAAATCCTCCCTGCTACTAAATTCGCTTTAAATTATTGAAGTTGGGATGTCTTAATCACAAATAAAAACAGAATACAATGATTTCCAAATCATGTTCAACCTATATTTAATTGAAAACACTATAAAGACACGATATTTAATGTTCAGACTCATAAACTTTGTTTTTAGGAATTGATCATGAACTGAGAATTCTATGGCTGCAACATGTTCTATCAATTCCGGGACGGGCGGCAAAAAAGACTGAGAAAGTTGAGGAATGTTCATCAAACACCTTTTTGGAACATCCCACAGCTGAACAGGCTAACTGGAAACAGGTGGATGTCATTAGGTAAAAAAGGAGCTTCCCTGAATTGTTCAGTCATTCACAAGCAAAGATGGGGCGAGGTTCACCTCTGAATAACTGCGTGAGAAAATAGTTTCAGGACAATGTTCCTCAAGGTACACTTGCAAGGAATTTAGGGATTTTATCATCTCCAGTCCATAATATCATCAAACGGTTCAGAGAATCTGGAGAAAACCAGCAATTAATAGCCGTGACCCTCAATCTGTCAGGCGACACTGTATCAAAAACCGACATCAACGTACAGTATAAAGGATATCACCACATGGACTCAGGAACACTTCAGAAAACCAGTGTCAGGAAATACAATTGGGAAGTGCAACTTAAAACTCTACTATACAAAGCAAAAGCCATTTATCAACAACACCCAGAAACGCCGCTGGCTTCTCTGGGCCCAAGCTCTTCAAAGATGGGCTGATGCAAAGTGGAGAAGTGTTCTGTGGTCGGACGAGTCCACATTTCAAATATTTTTGGAAATTTTGGACATCGTGTCCTCTGAGTCAAAGACGGGAAAATGCATCCAAACTGTTACGGACGCAAAGTTCAAAAGCCAGCATCTGTGATGGTATGGGACTGTGTTTGTCTCAACGGCATGGGTAATTTATACATCTTAGAAAGCTCTATTTATGCTGAACGGTACATACAGGTTTTGGCGAAACATGTCCTGCCAATCAAGCAATGTGATTTTCATGGACGTCAAAGAGTACGCATACTAGATTGTCCTGCCTGCAGTCCAGACCTGTCTCACATTAAAAATGTGTGGTGCATTATGAAGCGTAAATTACAACAATGGAGACCCCGGGCTGTTGAACAAATGAAGCTGGAGATCTAGCGAGAATTGGAAAGAATTCGACTTCCAAAGCTTCAACAATTAGTGTCCTCAGTTCCCAAACGATTATTGAATATTGTAAAAAGAAAAGATGATGTATCACAGTGGTAAACATGACCCTGTCCCAGCTTTTTGGGAACCTGTTGCAGCCATAAAATCATAAGTTTATTATTATTTGCTCAAAACAATAAAGTTTATCAGTTTGATGATTAAACAGATTGAAAATGCTTTGCAAATCATGGTATATTCTGTTTTATTTGTTTAACACAAGTTAATGATGATTTGCTCAGAACAGTTCATCAATTTGTCTTTATAATGCATTTAATTAAATATAGGTTGAATATGATTAGCAATTCACTTTATAGTAATCCCTCATTTTTCGCGGTTAATGGGGACCAGACCCCCTTGCGAAAGGCGAAAATGCCCCCGCCCCTCCCCAAGGAATTTCTGTGTATGTGGGTACGAGCCGTTTTAAAATATGTAAACAGTATTTGTACTTTACATGTTTGAGACCAAGATCACAACAGTACATGTATTTACTTAAACCTTTAATTATAAAACCTTCGAGGCAAAGAGGCTTGTAATGAGGTAGAAGGCGGCTCTCATTTGACTCATACGGGCTTTAGGTTTCACTCTTTCTGCTGGAGACACTGACGGTGTTGCTGAGGTTTTTGAATGGGTGATGGGTGGCGCTTTGACGTTCATCTTGTCTTCTTATTAGTTGAAGTAGGTTTTTGGTTTCTTTTTTATCAGACAATCATCTTTTTTGTGAAGAAAAAAACGATGTGACAGTTTAAGATATCACTTCAGACTTAATCTGCGCTGCCAATCAAGCAATGTGATTTTCATGGACGTCAAAGAGTACGCATACTAGATTGTCCTGCCTGCAGTCCAGACCTGTCTCACATTAAAAATGTGTGGTGCATTATGAAGCGTAAATTACAACAATGGAGACCCCGGGCTGTTGAACAAATGAAGCTGGAGATCTAGCGAGAATTGGAAAGAATTCGACTTCCAAAGCTTCAACAATTAGTGTCCTCAGTTCCCACACGATTATTGAATATTGTAAAAAGAAAAGATGATGTATCACAGTGGTAAACATGACCCTGTCCCAGCTTTTTGGGAACCTGTTGCAGCCATAAAATCATAAGTTCATAATTATTTGCTCAAAACAATAAAGTTTATCAGTTTGATGATTAAACAGATTGAAAATGCTTTGCAAATCATGGTATATTCTGTTTTATTTGTTTAACACAAGTTAATGATGATTTGCTCAGAACAGTTCATCAATTTGTCTTTATAATGCATTTAATTAAATATAGGTTGAATATGATTAGCAATTCACTTTATAGTAATCCCTCATTTTTCGCGGTTAATGGGGACCAGACCCCCTTGCGAAAGGCGAAAATGCCCCCGCCCCTCCCCAAGGAATTTCTGTGTATGTGGGTACGAGCCGTTTTAAAATATGTAAACAGTATTTGTACTTTACATGTTTGAGACCAAGATCACAACAGTACATGTATTTACTTAAACCTTTAATTATAAAACCTTCGAGGCAAAGAGGCTTGTAATGAGGTAGAAGGCGGCTCTCATTTGACTCATACGGGCTTTAGGTTTCACTCTTTCTGCTGGAGACACTGACGGTGTTGCTGAGGTTTTTGAATGGGTGATGGGTGGCGCTTTGACGTTCATCTTGTCTTCTTATTAGTTGAAGTAGGTTTTTGGTTTCTTTTTTATCAGACAATCATCTTTTTTGTGAAGAAAAAAACGATGTGACAGTTTAAGATATCACTTCAGACTTAATCTGCGCTGTCACTGCTCCCTTGTGACATGTCTAAAAAAAACACCTGACCGGTTTGGGAAACGTTCAAAATATGCCCTCCTAACCCCCAATTTGGCCCCTTGCTTCCGTTGAAGCAATGTGTTCCTGTTGAATGTACCATCCCTGCAGAGGGACGAACGGGCTTACATGCTTCCACACACCCGGGACACATTGGCAACGGGTTGGAGCGCAGTTTAACTCATGAAAAACTTGCCACTTGTTGAAAAAAGGTGTCGCAAACACAACACTATGATACAGTATGCGAGACAGTCAACCGCGAGAAACAAAGGAAAATGCCAGGTGAGGCCGCAATGATGCGCAGCCATTCAGCTCACGGGATAAATCCACTCGAGCAGTCATTGGTCGATGTATCGCCGGGAACCGATTATGCGCGTTTTTGTATGAGTGCCCGTGGCATGTACAGTACAGTCCAGGCACGTACAAAACATCTGAGTCATTCGGCCTGCAGGGAAACCTTCTCTCTTGGGCATCAACATGAAACAACGCATCTTGACGCAATATGGCTGCCGATATGGCTGTATTTTTTCATTTCTAATTTTTGTTTGTTTGTTTGTTAATGAATACAAGTATTTTTATTTTGGAAAAACCTGAGAAGCAATGAAGCAGCAAAACATGAAGCGCAAAGTGGCAACTTCCCAATGTCAGTGGAATTGGGTTTTTATTTTGAAACCTTGACAAGAATAGCCTATTAGAGACTCTCGAGACAGAAGGCATTGCAGAAGGGTGTTGTCCATCCTTGGTGTCCATGCCCGGATTACTTACTTTCGGTTAGCATCAAACGTTAAGAAGAAGTAATTGAACAGCCCCTAAGGCTTGTTGACTGTGCATGTTGCTATAGTGCACGTCTCGTGCATTTTCACATTAGTGAGGGGCATGGCTTTGGTCAGAAGGGCTTGAAGTAAGGCTTTATTCAAATCTTGCCAGCGGTTTGAGGACCGCTAACTCTCAGAAAGCAATTTCACATTTCAGGATTGCAAAAAAAAACTAACAATGTGTTTAGATGTCTAAAACAATGTATTTCTTGTTTTTATGGAAAGCAAATGTGAATTTATGAAGGGTAATTGTAATATATTTCTATCATGTCGTTTTCAATCAATAATGTAGTCATTTACATTTCAAGGATGAGCTTGCTCGGGTCCTGGTGACGCTGTTCGACTCCCGTCACCTCCTCTACCAATTACTATGGAATATGTTCTCCAAAGAGGTGGAGCTTGCTGACTCCATGCAGACCCTTTTTCGGGGAAACAGCCTGGCTAGCAAAATAATGACCTTTTGTTTCAAGGTAGGAAACTTCACAACTGCAGGCAACTTTCTTTGGACATTCCTTTTTTCTTAGAAATTATAATTTTGTTATGTCATTGTATTATTATGTTATGTTATGTTATCTGATACAAATTAGCTTCGAACTCAAAAATGTAAATAAAATAATTTTGTATTCATTTTGGTTGTATATTAGGTCTATGGAGCAGCCTACCTGCAGAAGTTACTGGAACCTTTGTTAAAAGGGGTGATCTCAACCCCTGAACACATCAGTTTTGAGGTGGACTCCACTCGGTATGAAACTCTTTTTTGTCAGTCCCTTAAATTATATTTTACTCTACCTGAGAAACATAACAGCCAAAAATATCATTTGCTTCTAAAGTATTCAATTTATCCACATGGTGGTGCTGTGTCCTATCCACTTTCCTTCTGTTCTTACTTGACACTAAAGCCAGCAGCACAATGAGCAACGTGACAGAACACAGCTGAACTATTCAGTCATGTCATACAGAGTGCGTGGTTCTGGAACCCATTTTCCGTCATCACCCACCGTCTGCAACTAGTTTGGCAGCGATTCCAAATGTCAACTCAAAATGAATGACGTCGCAACAGCACGTTACAGCCAATCAAGTGTGGTTGGATGAAGGCAAAATGATCCTGACTTCTCCTGATGAGATGGGAATATCATCCCCCCCGCCCCCCCTCATTTCTCATCCCCATCTCCAGGTTTTGCGAGCTGCTATTTTTCTTCTGTAGGCCATTTGCTCATTTTCTAGGAGTCATTCAAAATTTTAAATGTGGCTTCTCTCCTACTGTGGAACTTTGTCATGAATTGAGTGATTATTAATTGACGGTTTAGGTTTAGGGAAACCACCGTTTCATATGTTATTTGTAATTATTTTGCAATTTCTTTTTTCACATACTGCCAAATCGGTTTGGATTTTTTTCCCCTTTAATACCGCTACATAAAATCACTGAAAAACCTTTATTTTGGGATTCACTGATACAGATACAGGTATCCATAATGCCACTGTACAAATGTACTCGGACACGGAGTCTTAAAAATGCTTTGATACTCTGACGCGGATACCACTTCACCAGCTTAACATATATCTTTCGGGTAAGACCCATGCCAGCCGCTAACCGTGTGTAAATACTTCAAGGTAAACATGGATGAAAACTACTTCAGCCGTCTGCAAATTAATCACTGTCAAAATCGGTTTTCCCACACATCCTGAGAAGTCTGGAAAATGATTGACCAATTAATAGGAAGGAATTGGAATAAAAGCCGACAAACTGAAAAGTTGCCATCCATCCATCCATACATAAGGTGATCCAGTTTACAAGGCACACTGTCAATTCTTTTGAGAAAATTAAAAAATCTCAAGTATGCCTTATGGTCCGAAAATCCCGGTAGTCTTACTCTGCCACATTTTACCCCGTATGTCATATCTGCTCCATTGTCCGACAGCAGAAACAGAAAACACTCTATATCAATGAGGAAAAACTTCATTTGAAATTCGGCTCTCTTAAGATACTGTGTATGTGCACAGAGAAGCAGAGTGATGACTTTGCAGTTTTTAACTACCGGTAGTGTTTACGCCCCTGGGCTATTCAACCTGCCTGTGGTAGTGCCATAGGTCCTAGCATGGACTTTGGCCTTTCTCCAACCGATCACCAGATCATTAGTCGTTACCTGTATTCCATGAACTTGTTTCACTTAGCAGTGAACACAATTGAGATGCCAAAAATATTAGTGTTGTGACTTTGGTGGGTCAACAAGGCGTTCTTTTGAACGGCTCTTTTGCGGTAAACGATGAGACTCGATTCACAGGTGCGAGAGAGACGTTCATTTATTTTTGGCCAATTCATTGTGGTGTTTTGTAACATTGAAGCAATCTGGTGAAATATACAAAACAGAAGGTACATTTGTACAAAATAACACCTCTTCAAAGCTTGTGGGGGAATTTATTTGTGTATGTTGTGATAACTTGGCTCATAGTATAGCAGATAAAAAGCCGTAAGAAGTCCTGGAAAATAATTTCAAGAAAAGAGCGGAAACCCTGAAAATGGATGATGATCTTCGTCTTCATTGCTGTGATGCAAGCTAGTTTCCCGAGTTCTCTCTGCTCCAGACCACAATGCGTCGCCCGCCCAGCCCAGCCCACTTCTGCCCCGCGGCAACAGAGGCTATCTGGTTGATCCTGCAAGGATCATAACTACAGTATTATCTCAAAGATTAACATATGTAAATCCAAGTAATCGACACACTGACCCGAACAGGGAAAATACCTTTTCATGGCACTGTAGTGTACAATTCGTTTGCTAAATTTTGTTACTAAAACTATTCTGTGAGTTTGGTTTGGATTTTTTTTTCTTAAAAGTTGGATACGTTCTCCTGACTAAAACAGAAAGTAGAGATCATTTCTGTGTGTTTTTCTTCCTCTTACTCATCAGACTGGAACAAGGTGAGAACTTGGAAGATAATCAGAGAAACCTGTTGCAGATCACTGAACGCTTCTTCCATGCCATCATCGGCTCATCCAGCGAGTTCCCCCCTCAGCTTCGCAGCGTCTGCCACTGTCTCTACCAGGTAGACACCCCCCAAATTCAGCACATTCATGACCCGTAGCTTCTAACCTCGCTCTTATCCGTTTGTCATTTATACATTTCAAGCTCCTGCTTCTCCATTCTCTCCTATTTCTGATGCTGCTGAACTCGCTGCTCTCTTCATCGCACACATACTTGCATAGCTGTTCATATTTTTCAGATCTATAGCCCCTTTTCATGATTGGATTTAATCCCACAATATTGTAATAATTCAGTTTTTATAATCGACTGTTTTATAATCTCCTGAAAGACAAGCAAGTAAAGCATCACCACGCTATAATTGGCTTTATTTTCTGGATTTTTGCCATCACCATAATCTCTGACAAGAATTAAAATGTCAGAAATATGAAAAATCAACTCAATGTGGCGAACGTTCTCTTCTTTCACCTTAACCAGCAGAAGGACAGAACTGAAAGGAGAGGGGTTCTCAAACTTTTTTGGGGCATCAGGGGATTCCTTTTTTTAAGCACCCCCCGCCCTCATAATCCAAATAAATAGAATTATTTTTTTAAGTGGCTCACACAAAACAGGATTTAGTAAGGGTGTGGTGCTACGCATATAATAAACATCATTACCCTTTTGATCCTGGAGTCACTGAGGTTGTCATGGTTTTTTCACCTGACTTCCGTGTCCCCAGCGGAGGTTCAATTCCTAATCAGTTTCATATGAGTGTGAAAAATTTTTATATGTGCCCTATGATAGATTGGCGAACAGACCAGGGTGCAGTATTTCCACAAGTTAGCTCCAGCTTTCTGTGACCCTGTACAGAATAAGCAGTAAAGTTTAAAAAATGGATTGATGACACAAGTGTATCTATACAGTAACAACTGACTTGTGCAGTGGATATCAATAGTGTGCGTCCCTGTTAAAATGTCATGTTTTTGTGGTTTAAAAAAAAAAAATCTGACCAAATTAATCAAAGAGTAATCTTTTCAAAAAGCGAAACAAAAATAAACAACTGTGATCATGTGATTGCACAAGTGTGCTCGCCCTCTGACAACTGCGGGTGCGGCCTTGTTCAAAATTGACTACTCACCTTTGCACTCCTGGTAAATAGGAATTAGCACACAACTGACACTATATAAAATGCCTGTGATTGATTAACCCCAGATGAAATTCAGCTGTTCTAGTGGGCTTTTCCTGTCGCATCTTACATAAACTGCAGTCCACGGAGACTTTCCCTAGCATCAGAGCGATCTCTTTGTTGAAAGGGATCAGTCAGAAGAACAAAACAATCTTCCACACATTGAATATCACCTATCATTGAACACAGTGGAGACAGGTATCAACCGGTGGAAAAAAATATGGCACAGCAGTGACGATACCAAGAACTGAATGCCCCTCCAAAATTGATGAAAAGATGAGAAGAAAACTGTCACTGACTGCCAAGAGGCTGTCAGCAACATTGAAGGAGCAGAAATAGGCAAAATTGCTGAAATTTGCACATTTCATCTTGAAATACAAGGGCTCTTTATGCTTCAAGTGCTGCAGGGAGCACCTGAGCCTTACCTCTGATTTTGCAGTCCCTCACTAACTGGGCTGAGGAGGCTTACAGTTGGCAAGTGTCTGCTCCTGACTCTTGTCACGTCCCCATTTGTTTTCAGGCACTTTTAATCCCTTCAGGGACAGCGGTTACAACAGTGGACAGCCGATCATGTTATCAGGTGACAGGTTATCATTATTGGTGCATGAAAGGGTTAATATGATTCCAATTTTTCACAAGCAGGCTAATTAATCTAATATTTTTATTATTTGTGTTCATACCATCCTTGCGCGGTCAAATGAGGGGGCGGGCACCTGGACAATGTTTCCAACAGCTCCCTTGGCTTACCAGTACCAATTACCAGTTATGTCCAGAGGTCTGCACTTTTTGAAATGATCCAGCATAATTTTTTGCAAATTATTTTGCGGAACCCCAAGGTACAACTCGTGGACCCCAGTTTGAGAACCCTTGCTCTTGGATGTATGCGTTCAGTATGTCAAATTTGAGAGAGAGAGAGAGAGAGAGAGAGAGAGAGAGAGAGAGAGAGAGAGAGAGAGAGAGAGAGAGATATATATATCCTGGCATCTAAAAGAAATTAGGCATTTAAACCTGCAATTTTTTAACTGCAACCATTAGAAAACCAATGTTTTTATATTTTGTTGGCAATGGCAAAAATAATTTAAATCAGGTTCTCCTTGAAAAGATATTCTCCAGAGAATGGCTTCACTGCAGGTATATGTATCTCCCGTGGGACATATGATTAACTTCCTAATCAAGCAAAGTTTACCTGGAATGTTTTTACTCTGAGTTATATGATCTGCAAAAATCCTAAACATTCAATATTGAAGGCTTTGATCACATCTGAAGCATGAGGGCATGGCAAACTACTGTTCCATAATAGAAAGAAGAAAGTTGCGTCTATTACGCAATGCAAACACCGACAATAGAAAAAAAAAGTGTTTTTAAGATAAGAGTGCTATTATTTTTGGCAAGTTCTATTTCAAATGGATTTTAAATTTGGAACTATAATATTTTAAGCTGATGCAATAGGTGTGATCACTGCATACACGAGTGAAAACATTTTTTTTTTTTTTTTTTTTACTTGGCCATGATGACACACTTATTTTGCCTAAGATCAGGGCAGCTTCACACTACTGCTGCCACTGCTACTGCTCTAACTGCTGCACTTCATGTTGGCGCTGTTGTCCAGGTATTGAATTTTATGCTTAAGTGAACACCCAAACAGTGATCCTGTCCTTGTTCACTGATTTTGCTTTTTTTAACTTTTGCTTTCCCATTCTTCATTTGGAGTTCCCTTATGCAGCTTATAAGGCACACAAAGAGAGTGCACTGAATTCCAGCAACAACAGCGTATGCATGGCATGCTTCCTTGCCAATTAACAAATAGCTCTGTGACACATCTTTTCTGTCATTGACTAGATCGTTAGTTTTCAGCTTATCTCTGTACCTTAATTGGTAGGGTTATGTGCGTATGTATAGCTGGTGCTGTGACCATGATTGTACTCGTCTCTGTTCTGTAGGCTACTTGCCACTCTCTACTGAATAAGGCAACTGTAAAAGAAAAAAAGGAAAACAAAAAAGCAGTAAGTTTGGAGACTCTATTTTCCCTCAGATACTTTCCCCCCAAATTCTTTCTCCCTAAAGCAAAAAAGGCTTTTTTTTTTTTTTTTTGCATTTTCCTCACTTGGTTTATTGTCTTCATTTGTTTAAAATCAATTTGAATTGCGTGTCCCTCAAGAAATGTTTTATTCTTTTCTGCATTTTCAATTTGTGTACTATAAGGATGCACCGATTGATTGTGAAGTTTCACCTCAGTTGGCGACCATCACTCTAAAACCAATCCCCTGCTGATTACATTTAAGCCTTTTTACACTTTAATACAGAGAACCAAACGCCTGCCTCTGCTTTTTATTTATGTTTTAAATGTGACAGCTTTTATTTAACTGATCATGCTCTCATACTGCCTACAAAGGTAAACATTTTAAAAAGTATTGACATAGCAGTTCAAATTCTGAACAGATGGTAAACTTCATAACACAGCTGTTAAGTCGCAGAGCATTTGGCGCTGTCACTTAAATGACTTTTCGAACTGTAAAGACTCTGGCAAGTGAGCGGCTTAAGCAAAGTTCACTTATGTTCACTATATAACTTTTGCTATGTTCACATTGCAGTGTGTGTTACTAAAAACTGTTACGAAAAACAATTCATGTACAATTGTACGTATAGTCTCCCTGACAACCACTCTCACCCACACGCATCACTAATGTACCCGATTATTTGCTCAGACAAAAGAGGCCCATGTCTGGCATTAAAGAAATAAAAAGTAATTTCACTCATTTGAGGATATGACTCAAGCAAAAAACAGTTACCTTCATCTTCCAATACATCTTAACACTTCTGCAGTACTTCACAATCCAATTTTATCCAAATAAAAAATTTAAATATATAACATTGTACTCACCACAGATGCGTACCTGTCTGTATATGCTAACTTGTGCACTCATACATAACTGCACTGTAATTGACCCCCCCCCCCCCCCCCCACGAA